ACCAGCAGTGTGTGTCCTCCATGATGATGGACGTGTTTGTTTTCCATCGTGTGCGAAAGGGAATTTGAATTTGAGACAATTACGAGGGAAAATTTGGAAAGGCTTTTCGAGATGAGCTGTTCAACTCATCTTTGTAGCTGTTCAATAATATAAAATATAGCAGTTCAGTCCGGGAATGGGATAGGCGATATATCTGAATTCAAGTTTCACGTGCTCAAGTTATCTGTGCTCGTCTGTATAAAAACATGAGGGTATTATTACTGTAGAGTAGGCCTACTGTGTTCTGAATACACAAATCTAAATTGTGGCTCATCACTCTAACACAAGCCAAGCTACAATATCCCTACCAACAGATTTAATAATACCATGAAGAAAGTCCACTCAACTGTACATCTGTAGTGAGTGTACAACAATATCATCATCCTAGCCTAGAAACAAGTTAAAACTTTGGTTACATGCCATAAAATTCAAAGAAGAAATGTACGAGGGAAGAAAAAATAGCAAATGAACCATGGCAACACACAAAAAAGCATGGGGTTCACACAACAAAACCACCACACAGGCTGAAAACAATTTGAATTGGGTCAAATGTTTCCTACTAAAAACTTCTACTTTCCAACTTCATCAACACCCACAGAATGTAGGACCAAAACGTTACAACTTGCCTTAAAACGGGTTTGTTTAGAGTAGTTGAATCACACTGCACTCTACATAAGGTTTTAAGAAGAGAAATATAATGATTTTTGGAATAGTTTGAAAACACTTGAAAGCACAGAAAAGCGGTCATGAGGGTGTCAAATATGTAGGTTCCTCAACAATTTACTTATCCTCACAATTATTTCATTTGTATCTCACAAATTCTAAGCCACTCATAGTATTACTGTACACGAGCCTGAAAAATAAAAATTCCAAGACAATATATTTTGTATACGAATATCTCAACTATATGTTTCAAAAACCCACAAAACTTTAGCAATGACTAGAAGATGGAATGACAAAACATAATTTTTTAAGCATGTTGTCTTCTACGAAATCAACAAAAGAACAGACACGTGAAATGATTCATGCAGACCTGCCACTCTGTGAAATCGAAAAACCAGGATCTAGTGAAAAAAAATCAGGATCAACAACTAATGACCAGGGTGACTTCGAAATTTTCGGTGACCGTACCTTCTAAGTAGCAAGCAATTCATGCAAGTCTAAATAAATATATCCATCCTTGCTAAGGGGCATTTATTTAGTTGGGGGTTTCTTTAGTTTTTTCGGGGAGGGGGAGAGTCTTCTTATGAGGTATTTCACACTCTGCATTAACTCATTTCTATTTTTCCTTCAGAAAAATAGTCTATATCGGAAAACAATAAAAAGTCCTGGCTTTGGCCAGTGATCGGGCCATATTTCAGCATCCACAGACTAAATTTATTGCAGAAACACGTTCAAATGTTTGGGTCTGAATATTAGTGGAAAAAAACAGAAAGATAGCATGTGCTCGAGTCAAAATTGGAACGACTGGGAAGGTAGCAGAGATGCTGAAACACTCATGGTCTTGAAGATATCTAAAACATAGCTTTAATCATCCATGCAAAAAGCACACATTTTCATACAGTAAACAAGGTATGACGTTGATTGCGTATACACACAAGGCATATCCCATTGTGCCGTTTTGCACAGACATCAGCTCCATTCAAATTCAAATCCTAAATTTGGTTCCAAGTTTATTTTTGTATTTAATTTTTTTTTTTTATCCTAAAGTTTCACAAAAAGCATTCAAAGTCTAATTGTCTAACCTTTAACTTTAAACCTCACTAAATTCAAATTTTGACTTGCGCAAATGAACTTTATCGACACCGACAACCGATGGTCCCCAATATACGCAGAACACAAGGTCCTGTCATGTTATGTGAGCGTGTGTTGAAACATTTTTACTGACAGGTCTTGTTGACGAACCTGACTAACGAGAACTCGGACAAGTTGGAATTCCAAATACAATGCAACATGTAGAAATTACTCTCATTATAGTTGAAATTACATGTGAGAGTCAACTCTTAGGTCTGGCATATTTAGCACGTGAGTTCCTGCCGATAAAATATTCCAATATGCGCTTCAAGCGAAAGAGAAAGCAGGAGAATTTTTTCCCACAACCCAGAGCAACAGGGGAAGCAAAAAAAATCAGGACACACATGATTAAAAGCAGAAAAATAGGGATGCTTGAGCATGAGAATTGGGCCTAACATCAGGATATCCTGATTAAATCGGGAAGAGTGACAGGTCTGCTTATGGTAATCAAATATAAAAAGTAAGAAAGGACAGGACAATCATGGCCATTAGTATCTTGTTTACATATTTTTCTTCACAAAAAAATTTAATTAATACAAATTTAAAAGGCCAAAAATAGCAGGATTAAACGATATAAAGGTCAGTATTCGTATTACATTTTTTTCCCAAGACTCTCCAATAGATCAAAGATTCCTATTCATTATTTTCAATAGCATACAATCTAAAACTTACTGCCTACACTAGTACCAACAATAACATGGATTTTCACTTCAGTAATTTCGGAGTCATTCATTTACAGTGACAGGAGGCCTACAATTTGAGCAGAATGTCCTCATTTGTTCAATAAAACAGCACTACATGTATTTGCTTCTATCACAATTCTATGTGATTTGAGCAATACAAAATACATAAATATATAAAATATAAAATGATGACAGGATCTTCAGTCTAGCATGCACATAGCAAAAAGAGTGTCAGTCCCCAATTTATCTGATCTATTCTTTGTATTCAAAACATGCGCATAGACAATGACTTCTCTCTATAGGCCTAGGTCAGAGGCAATAGTACAGGTCAAAGATGTGAGGAGCTTCATCACAAAATGAACTGTCCCACATATATATAATATCCATGTACCGGTACTTAAACTAGTCATCACAATTGCATCTTCTATGACAGAACTTTTAATTTAAAAAATATTTCATCACAAATTGTTTTACAACTTATTTTAGCACATCAAATCAGCGTAATTTCACAGAACCTGATATACTTTGTCCTGGTTTTCACACAGCGCTTACGGAAACCCACCAATGAAAAACAAGAAAAACGACACCTTTCTGTCACACCCCCAGCTGACTATTCCCCACATTTGTCACTTATGCCAGACGTGCTAGAGTGTGTGTGTGTGCGTGTGCGTGTGTGTGTGTCCATGTGTGTGCGCGCGCGTATGTATTTGTGTGCACGCGTGCGAAGTGCACAAGAGTGCATGTTGGTGAGAGAGAGAGAGAGAGGGGGGGAGGGAGAGGGAAGGGGAGAGGAAGGTAGACAGACAAACAGACAATAAAAGTATACCTCTTAATGCAACTTACTGCCAAGGTTACCTTCAGCATATTATTAAAAAGTAGTCTATGGTACCAAGACAAACTTTCTTCAATAAATAGGGCTGATTATCAAGGGTCAAATAAAGTAAAGTGCATGTTAACTTACTTGTATTCAACCACAGCTTAAAAATGAGCTAAGTAAAGCGTGCACTTAAACTCATTCGCTACGCCAAGCCGTGGGGGGCGGCACGGCTAAAGTGCTGTCAGTACTCTAAGCCGCCCCCGGCGGCTCGAGAACCGATCTTCAATTTTAGCTTAGATTCTATTCCAATCCACATATCCACGTCAAAATAAAGGTTATAATATAATGTTGACTTCCGGGTCAAGCATTTCCACTGAAAATCGGAAATTTAGATTCAGTTTTGAAATGCGATTTCGTAGTTTATTCCATTTTGTTTTATCGCGATGCCAAAATTATAGCCCGGACACCAGTCTTAGTAATTTTAAACAACAAAATCTATCATTATTTTGCCCACTAAAGAAATGTAGGACTCTTTTTTATAATATTGATACGATTGGACTCATATTGCCAATGCACTGTTATTGAGAAATCAATATTTTTGAGTGCTAGATCTAGGTCTTGATCTAAATTGTCAAAATATTTTTTTCTCCCCAAAATCACTAATTATTTTTAATGAAATTACACAAAAAGTGCCACTCAAGACATGTATAGGTTTATTCCAAATGCAATTCTTAATAATTCCATAAGGTACGAGTGGGTTTTTTTCTGTTTGTCATCGTTTTTCAAGATTATTAATTTTTTTATAATTTGTCAATATCGGATGTTATGTTCAAAATGTACAAATGTTATGGAATGTAGGTAAATAACTGCAAACTTTTCGATATTTTCCAGTTCTATATTCATTTATGGTTATATTGATGTATCATTTGACTAGGTGCAAACATATTTTCTGATTTTCACCAAAGATTATCATTTTTTTATTTTCAAATTTTATCCACATCCAATCAAAATTGTGTTGCATAATCGTCTCTTACAGGAACCAAAGTTGAAAAATACATAAATAAACATTACAGATGTATTCTAAAACCATACTGAAAATTTTGGTATATAATATATATTGATATTTATTTGAATTTGTGGCCCCAAAGACCTTTTAACTGCCCACTAGTCATCATATCATTCGCCCTCCCGAAAAAAAATTTGTCCACAAGCCGAAAATAATACGTAGCGAATGAGTTAAGACTGCGCATTCAAAGATGGTTTAAACCCCGAGTTCTGGCAAGAGACGCTTAGTGAGTGGCTGCTGTGCTAAAACCATCCTCATCATCTTCTCTATGTTCTTCACAATATTTTGAACTACTTTTTGTGTTCAACTATCGGTAAGAAGCTACCAAAATCTTTTTTTTAAAAAACTTTATATGACATTTAGTGGAAAAACAACTCAATATATGTAAGGTGTTTTGTGTGTGTGTGTGTGTGTGTGTGGGGGGGGGAGAGAAATTAGTCCTAATTATGAGGACCATTAATGATCTGTAATTTCCAAAGCAAGTGGCAATCAAATACTACCAAGCGCTCCAACAAAAGAAATCTTGAAGTTGACATAGAAGTTAATATAAAATCTGACATGTTCTCAGATGTTTTCCTTTGACGAAACTGCACATAAAGCATTTTGTGATGAAACCCTTCATGTGTTTATTGCACAAGTCACAAAAAGTATTCAGTGGTAGATCTAACCAGCACATGAGCACACTTCAGTCATGAGGGGAGTCTGTGGTCTTGTGAAGGTATGCATCCAGTATTGTCCCCACATATGTCGCTTCCTCTTCAACAGAAATTACAATTCACATACAACAAACAGCTTGCTGGATTCTGTACAGATAGGTCTAGTTGATGTTGTAGTAGAAAGTAGACCATGGCCAAGTGAAAGGAGTAGACAGAATTCTTGGTCAAGGAAAAAAAACTGTGGGTCCTAGCAAAGTTTAATAAAAATCAAATGTCCAAATCTGCAAAAATGTCTGTGAACTCACACTTCTGATAGCATGACATAGGGGGCATAATTCATGTAAAATTTTGAACAAATAGTCCAGCTTTCTTTATCTCCATTGTTATGGCCTGAACATTGCACATACCAAAATTTGTACATAAAAAGATTTCCACATCCCGCTGATTTTGCCATGTGCATGCTAGTCTGTATAACAAAACAAAGCTGCCCCTTTCAAGTATGATATGAAAGGAACAAATATGCCTGAAATATTGCACGAAATTCAAAGCAGAATCTACACCAGTCACTAAACACGACCCTTTCCTTTAGTGACTCTCTTTTCAAACGACACAACACAAAAACCATGTAACATTGCTTTGCCCTTAGAGTATTATTTATAGCTCACTACAGTACTGTGACACTATCATCCATCACAATAGCCATATTTGAGCCTTTTATTTTTTTTATTGGAAACTTTTGAAACATACTTTCATGCAGTTCTTTACAGCATGTCACTAAAATCAAGAAAATGAAAAAAAGACCCCCCCCCCCCCCCCCCCCCCCCCACACACACACACACACACACACATTCACGGCTGATTAACAAACAATAGTACCCTCTCAAAAATTAACCACAAAAGCACACATTCAGGTATTCGGGTCACAATACACTCAATACAGTCAATTTAACTGGAGCAGTAAGGGCAGGTAACACCAAACGTATTTTCTCCACTGTAAGCAATGTACAGAAACCCATCCTCATCTTTGTGGTCTTCATAGACTTGGCCCATGCTTGCACTGAAACAGAAAGACAAAACTACTTAACATTCGCAAACATTGACAGTGTAGCTTTGGTAAGTAGGAAGAGACAGGGTTGGGAGTACGCCCAGCAGCTCAAGGTGAGACTGATTGAGAAACAGCTAGATATGCAGTGATCTCCACCTAAGAACAATGCCTGTAAGAACCTGCTTTTACCATGAACAAATTATAACCAACTGTTTTCTTCATAATTTATCCGTCTAAGAATTCAGTTTGAGTTCAGGACAATAAATTTTTCTGAGCTGCTTCACTATATTTCTCCTTCAAAGTTGGACCAAAACATGAACTTTACAGAGACAAAGTTCAATAAAAAGGCAGTAGGGAAGAAGTAAGCACTCTCACAACCTCCTTCTCTATTTCAAACAGTACTGCCAACTTTTAACAGTTTTGGCTCCTCAACAAACACAGCCAGAAGAAGCCATGTGATGCCATATAACTGAAAATGTAAAGTCATTATTAATGAAGGAAGAATTAGAGAAAAGGGCAGATAGGGTGAAGGGAGAGGTGTTGGCACAAACGTGTAGACAACAAAATCTACACACAACAAACAAATGTACACTGAACATACACATGAGCTCTCCTGAATACCGGTAGGTCAAACTCTGATGTAGTCTTGGCGGTTTTGGACAAGGACAATTACTTGTTCCTCTCATGTGGTCAAAGTCAAAGTGTATAATGGTCTTATAAAAGCAGTCGCATAAATGGAAATCCTTCCATTTCACTTACCCAGCACTGAGACTCACCCAATGTCCATCAACTGTTTGCTTCAACAATGCATGCTCCCCCCCTCCAAAATGCACTGAGATCGAGTAACCTTCTTGAAATCGAATCTACCCATTTCATGGAATCAGTATCAAATCAAACAAAATTATGCTGGAAGCATTTCTCTACAGAACTACGCAGTCATATTTCCTCAGCCTTTCATAAAAGAGCAAAAGTTTTACATCACCAGAAAACATCTGCCTGCATCTGCGACTGTAACCCACACATATGGGACAATTTTTTTTCAAGTTAAAGCATTAAGCAATTTGTAATTTCAAAGGTGGGGTAGTCTACGGTATAGAATAAGCCCCCCAAATGATTAATTTTCAGGGTTTTTTGCGCACCCCCACCCCCCCCACCCCTATTCCATTGGCCCTGTTTACATTTTTCCAGCTTGTCATGACCGACGATCTTGTGAAATATTATATCCAGAATCTAGATATCTAGATTTAGATTCTAGATCTAGATATTTGTCACATAGCCCCGAAGCCACCTGAATCAATCGATAACCTACTTTATCATGATGCCCGACTGCTTACTTAGACCTAGCTCTAGTAGATCTAGGCCTACTCTCGGCGTGACCCTCAGCCCTGGCTGCGGGGTTTCCGCAAGCTGGCTAAACTACAGTTCGAAAGGAATGGCAAAAAGTGCTGGTTTCCAAGAAAAAGATTCAAAATCGTATCTATTTCTTAGATCTATCTAAGCCATGTTCTAATTGCATCTAAATATGAAAATGGAGCAAGATCAAGCCAATCTTCAATTAATAATAGATCTATGATCTAGAGATCATGGGTCAAAATACAAAATTAGTGAAAAACATTGTTTTCAGGAACCGTGTGAATTTGAGGTATCCTTCCGATTTTGGTGAATGAACTGCCTATGTCATTGGAGCAATCGTAGCCTACTATTTGCATTACGTCCCTTTCGATTTCTTGAAATACAGGCTCAGGTTAAATTGTTTTCTTTTTATATCAACAAGCATTTCTTTTATATTGATAATGTTTTGTTGACGTCCACTGAATGAAACATCTTTTTCTTTCTTTTGTACACCCTCAGTATTTGTACCGGTACCGGGTTGGCTACCTCAGCTTTCGGTGCATTTTAAAAACTTTTGTACATTGGTTTATATTTTTTAATGAAACTGGTTTGTTCCTAAATGATTAAAATGGAAAAAGTTGTCACAGTAACTTACCAAAATTACTAAAATTTCATGATCTCTTGTTCTTTTATTGACTGGAGGAGAAATAAAACAGTACAGGGGTACGAGGTTGAATGTGCC